TTTTTTTTTGTCTCCAACAAACAAAAATGAAAAAAAAGAAAGAATTTAAAATTAAATCACAATGGTAAATCTAAAAAGATGATGATATTATAAATTTGAATCTCTTTCATCCAAAAAAAAAAGGATATTAAAATGGATTACCTACAAAAAAAAAAATAAATCTTACAACAATGGAAAAAAAAAAGAGAGAGAGAGAGAGAGAAAGATGCAGCAGGACTAATAAATTAAAAAAAAAAAAAAATTTAAGAAATGTAAAATAAAACAAAAGGTGTGTGTGTGTGTGTGTGTGTGTGTGTGTGTGTGTGTGTGTGTATATGCTTTTAGCAATTTGAATTCATTATACATGAGAGAAATTATTTTTAAGGAAACATAATCCTAACGATAATAATAATGATATAAATTATTAATTTAAAACGTTACAACATGAAGAAAAAAAATGACGACGACGAATAGGAAAGAACGATTAAGAGAAGAAAAAAAAAAAAAAAAGAAAGAATGAAAAAGAGAAAATCGATCATTTCTTCGCCCTTGATTCCATAGCAACAACATTACTGTCAACAAAAATCTCACAAAAAAACCTTTTTAAATATAATTTAAAATAAATAATTAATAAATAATACGATACCTCGACAAACTGATTGTACTCCTTAAATAAAAATAAAAAACAAATTAATAAAAAATAACTTTTAAATTCATACATTATAATTATAATTCACACGCCGGAATAAGATAAACTACTCCACCCTCTAACAACCGATCCGTCGATAAAACTGACATGGCCGTCGTCTATTCACATACTCTATTTGCTAGAATTTACTTTCTGCGCATTTCTATATATCGAACAAGCGGATATTTTTCCATTTTTTTTTTTTTTTTTACCTCAAATTTTTTCTCTCTCTCTCTCTCTCTTTCCCCCCATTTTCTTCTTCTTTTCATTATTATTATTATATTATTTTATTTTAAATTTAATTTTAGGAAATTTCATTTACAAAAAATTAAAAAATAAAATCGTTAAAGATTATCGAAATCGAACATAATTTAAAAAAACAAAACAAAAAAAAAAAAATGTCGTCTGCTTTTCCCATCAACGAAACCATTAATTCTATCTTATACAAATCCAAAATGGGGGCGAAAATACTCTTAAATTTTATTTTATTTATTGTTAATTATTAATTAAATTCAAACAATGATGATGATGATGATTATATAGACCCATTTTCGTTTAAATAAATAAATAATAATAATTATTTCATATAAAAATGTCTGCCATCTTTCTTTCTCTCATCCAAAACCTTTTTTTTTTTTTTTATTTAAATAAATTTTAAATGTTTATTTGTTATTTATTTAATTATTATCCATTTTATTACTTAATAACAATTATTAAAATAATTTAAAAATTATTTTTTATTGACTGCAAAGCCAATTTAAAAGGAAAAAAACGTTAAAATAATAATAATAATAACGGAAGAAATTTCTGGAAAATTCTAAATACAATCAAATTGATTAATAAATAAACATCATGATTACTTAATAATAATGATAATAATTGTTATTACTATACAATAAAAACAACATAAATAAATGAAAATAATCAATAAAATCTTAATAATAATATAATAAGGATCAAAAAAAAAAAAATGGCGGTAGAAAAAATTTTTTTTTAAAAATTTATTTTTTAATAATTAATTAAAAATTTTTCAAATAAGCAAATATATATATAAAATAAAATTTTTCCGTATCGTATGCAAAAAGAGACAAAAATAAAATAAGCTTTCAATTATAATAATAATAATAATAAATAAATAAATAACTAAAAAAAAATTATTAATCAAATAATATTAATAATAAAATCTTAATAAATGTGTATCTGTGTGTATGTTGCACTTATTTATGTATATATATATATATTTATTTATTTATTTATATTGATAAAAAATAATTTAAATTTTTATTTAATATAAATCTAATTATAACATTAATAATGATGATAATAATATTAATGAAAAATAAATAAATAAATAAAATAATGGATTGAATTGTAATTAATTTCGCCATCTTTACAGCAAAAAATGAAAAAAAATCACAAGCCAGAAGCTAATTAATTAATTTAACCTTTTTTTAAACTAATCATCATCATCATCATCATCGTTATTATTATTATTATTATCAATACTATCATCATCTTTTATTTATTATTATTATTCATATCATTTATTTTTTTACCTCACATTTCAATTTCTTATCATTCAATTTATATAAATATATATAATTTTTTTATTAATTATTATTATTATTATTAATTAATTAAACAATTTTTATGTAGAAGATAAAATTAATAATCTGAAGTGATAATAATGACGACGATTATCATAAATAAATAAATAAATAATTAATGAATTTATTATTAATAGAAAAAAAACCGTGCGAGCGATTATAAATATCGTTTTGATAATATTATTATTATTATTATTAATCATCATTATTATTATTATCTATTTAAAACGAATACATATATTTTTATTTATTTAATTTTAACGTAAGTATAATCAATAAATAAATAAATAAATTTTTCGCTATATTATTATTAACGAATCGATAATGAAAATTATGTATGTAAATCATCGCCATTTTAACAAATAATAATAATAATAATAATAATAATAATAATAATAATAATAATGATAATTTTTCAACACTCGTTATTTAATAATAATAATAATCCATCATTTGATTAACACAAAAAAATTTTTTTTTGACTTTATCATTATTATTATTATTAAGTAATGAATAAATTAAATGATTGATTGATTGACTTATTGATTAATTAATTAACAATTTATTTTTTCAATTATTTATCTTTACTTTACGATAATAATGATGATTACGATGGTGGTGGTGGTGATAATATCGATGATGATGATAATGATAATAATAATAAATCGAATCGGTAAGACGTAAAATTTTTTTCCATAAATAATCATCTAATTAATTAATTAAATTGAAATTAATTGTACAATTTTTTATCATTATTATTATTATTAAAGGCAATTTAATTTAATTTTATTCGCTATTAGGCTCGTGCTTATTATATGTATATATATAAATAAAATAAATTAATTAATTAATAAATTAATAAAATCCTGTTTTACAAATTGTGCTTTTATCTTTTTTGTTTTGTTATGTATAATATTATTAACTTTTCAATTCAATTGTTTAATAAAATAAAATAAATATTAATTAATTTTTTTTTTTTACTCTCTTCATTTATTTATTTATATTAAATTATTTCTATAATAATAATAATAATAAAAAATAAACAGGAAGATTTATTTATTTAAATTTTTAATCTATAACTAGAATCAAACTCATTCAAAATTTAATTAAAAACTAAAAAATAAAATTTTATGTAATTAATATTAACTGTTGTAATTCTTATCGATCGATCAATCAATCAATCAATCAATCATATTCTCGCTTTTATTATTATTATTATCAAACGTGTACAAATCGTTTTGTTACAAACAAAATTGAAAAATTTTACATAAAACTTGATTAAAAGATTAATAATTTTTTATTATAACAGAATTAATAATTTATTGATTTATTGAATTTTATTTATTAAACTGTTTTTTTTTATTGAAAATGATTAATTATTAATTTGATTCGATTAAATTTATTTATTTATTTTTGATTTATTAATTTTTTGATTTTTAATAATATATATAAATATATATTTAAATATTTAAAAGGCTGTGAAATACATAAATTTTTTTTTTTTATTATTAAATCACGTCAGAATCAATTTTATTATTATTATTATTATTATTAATAAAAAACCTGGCATACCTGATAACGATGCAAGAGAAAATTAAAAAAAAATTAAATAAAAAAATTAAAATTGATAAACATATACACATACATAATTATTATTATTATTAATTTTTTCCATAACTTAACCTTTCATAAATTTATTTATTTTATTTATTTCCCCCTATTATTTATTATATTTATTTATTTATTTATATATTTATATATATAGCAGTCAATAGAAAGAAGCATACATAATCTAAACAAATAATAAATAATTTTTATTTTAATTAATTAATAATAATAATAATAATAATAATAATAATAATAATAATAATAATAATAATAATTTTCTTTATTTTATATTTCGTTTATATTCAACAACTTTTTTTTTTTTTTGTTTATTTTTCAATATTATTATTATTTATTTATTTTTTAAAAAATATAGATTGTTAATTTAGGCAGTGTGATAAATAAATAAATAAATAAATAAATAAAACTGATAAGAAAATGATAATAATAATAATAATAATCAAAATAAAATTTCAAAAAATTTAAAAATTAAAAAAAAATTAAAAAAATAAATTTCAAATTAAATTAAATTAAAAATGATGATGATGATGATTACGAAAATGATTAATAATAATAATAATAATTAGCAAATCGATCGCGATTAATTTAATTTAAATTTTAAAAAAAAAATATATATATATATAAATAAAATAAAAAAATAAAATAAAAGAAAAAAAAAAAAAAGAAAAACGTTCCTGAACATATAATCGTGAAGGGCGGTGTGATCACACAACAATCGACTCAATCAATCATTGATTATCATTTATATTAACTGCAAAAAAAAATTATTATATTCATATATTTATTTTTATTTTTTTTTTCTTATTATAAACACGTTAAACGACAAATAAAAAAAAAACATTAATTAATTAATTAAATAAATAAATAAATAAATAATATTTGTTATTTTTGTTGCCCATAACCAAATAAAGCTTTTTAGATTTTAGATTTTTTTATTTAAGCAAACCCAAAAATTCTTTCTCGCGCCCATCCATATTATGAATGATTACACGTGTGTGTGTGTGTGTGTGTGTTTGTTAACAATTAATTATGTTAATTTGTGTTTGTATGGTTGTTTGTGTGTGTGTGTGTGTTTTTTTTTTTTAAAAATCATTTATTCATTACTTTTTTTTAAGTGTAAAAAAACTTCTTTTCTTCTGTTCGCTTTGTCCCGGACCGGCTGGAAGAGTTTGAGATTTTCCTGGTCCCGCCGCCGCTGCTCCTCCCTCGCATTGAGCACCCATTGCCGATACCCATTGATTCATTTCTTCATCGTCCTTGGCTTGAAATAACAATTCAGCTCCGCTGGCTGTCCTGTTTGACAAACGAAAACAAAACAATTATCATTAAAACACGTTTGGATTCGTCACAAACAAACAAACAAACAATGAGTGACTTACTTCAGCCTGAACACGTGTTTCTTTTTCGTGTAATCAAGAGCAACCTCGATGAAACCGTTTTTAAGATCTAAACGTTGTTCGTTCTTTAGACACACATCGGGTGCTGCTTTATATGATTTGGCATCCTTGTAAAAGGATAATTGCGGCCCTTTCATCACAACGTAGACCTTGTCCCAAGATCTGCAAAACACATACACACTCATTATACAGGTACTACCTTTAATATTTTACGGTGAGATAACGTTTTAACGTCGCGTACCTGTTGGATGCTTTTTTAGTTGTTGATTCCCATTCGTGTTTACGTTGTAGCATACCTTCCAAAAGTTCATCTTCGGCGGCCGGACTTTGACGTTCTGTAAAAACAATTTCTTTTATAATTTTTATTACATCTCTCCCTCTCTCTCTCTCTCTCAATTAATAATAAACTAAAACTATCTAATTTTTACTTTTTTTCGTTCAACATCATCTCCGACACGTACTTGACAAAAAACAAAACAATTTTCTTACCTTCTCCTTCTTCTTATTATCTTTTCTCTCCCCCTCCCAAAAGGGGAGAAAAAAAAAGGGGAGAAAATTTTAAAAAATTTTCTTTTTTATATAAATAAATCTTTCCGTTCGTTTTTTTTTTTTTTTTTTTTTTTACGGCATTAACACTAATTAACAACTAAATATAAATAAGAATAGATAGATGACAAAGAAGAATTATTTTTTTTTTTTTGTAATGATAAACCTTACCTGAAAAGCTGGATTCATCGTCGGAATGGGGTGCCGAGGGACTCTTCGGTGAACCCGAGGAAGATTTTTTCCAACGGAAAGACCTGAAGGGTGATTTCGATCTGGATCGATCCTTATCCTTCTTTTTCGTTTTGGCACTTGAAGCTAAGAGACCAATCAATAAATTCTAACTAACTAACACGAACTAATTTAAAAACTACCAACAAACATTTTTACTTCTAATTTAATTCAAGAATGAAAAGCTCGTCTCCTAATTATTTAATAACTTGAATCCTTTTTCTTTCTCTCTCTCTCTCTCTCTCCTTTTCTCCCTTTCTCTCTCTCTCTCTCTCAAGACTCTGATCCAAGTTTTCTAACCGGAAAGACGAGCTTTTTAATCTTTTTGAAATAATAAAATAAAAATATAAAAAAAAAAAAAACAAAAAAAGTTACTAAAATACTAAAATACTAAAAAAACCGAGCTTTTTCCGTTTTTATTTATTTATTTATTTATTTTAAATAAATAATTTCGAGTTTTTTGTAATCGCAAACATTTCAATTATAAAAAAAAAGCATAGAGTAAACATTTTAACGAGTCATAGAGTATATAAACACGTATTTTTAACGGTAAAAACCTAATTGTTAAGAAACATTTTATTGATTTCTGTTTGTTTCTCTCACTACTTCAATTATTGAAAAAAAAAAAAAAAAAAAAAATCAATAAAAAAATGCAAATCTTTTCCTTTTTCTTTCTCTCCCCCTCTCCCTCTCCCTCTTTCTCTATCTTTCTCTTTCTTTTCCAAGTCTATTAATTCAAAAGTTAATTAATTCAATGGGTTAAAATTAGTCAAAAAAAAAAATTACCGAAAAAGCTCAATTTATATAATTTTCTATCTTTCATTTTTTTTTTTTTTAATAGTACTACAACGAGTACTACTACTGCTACAGCTACAGCTACAGCTACTACTCACTGTTGTCTTGAATTGATGTGGGGGAAACCTGTTGCCTAGAAGCCCTGGCGACCGCTCCACGTTCATTACCCGATCGATCTCCGTCCAATCGTTTTTCACCATGCACTAATCAAATATTTACAAACAACAACAACAACAACCATTACACGCATGCAAATCAAAAATGCAATAATAAATAAATAAATAAATAAATAAATAAAACAAACAAACGACAAACGTCTTAAATAAATATAAAAAAAAATAATAATTATTCCAAATAAAAGCTCAATTTTCAATTTATACTAAACTTTTAATATATATATATATATATATATATATTAAGAAATAAGTACCATTTCCCCCACCACGGTTCTTTACCCATTTCACATTCCCCTTATAATAATAATAATGATAATGATAATAATAAAAATAATAATAATAAATTATATATATTAATAAATAAATAAAAAAACCCGATTTCACCTTCAAAAATTTCCAATTAATAATTTTTTTTATTTTATTTTATTAAAAGCTTTAGCGAACGATGATAGTAATAATAATAATGATAATGGTAATAAAGAATCAAAACCCCGCCCCCCTAAAAAAAAAAAAAGAAAAAAAAAAAAAACAAAATGCATGCCACATGCACTAAATAATAATAATAATAATAATGAAAATGAGAGAATGAAAACGAAAAAAAAAAAAAAAAAAAAAAAAAAAAAAAAAAAAGAAAACTCAAGAACTTATTCTATTTTTTTGTGCCTGTGCCTGTGCCTACGTGCGAGAATTTTTCTTCTTCTTCTTCCCCCAACCCCAACCCCCACCCCCTTTCCCATTTACATCTCAAGCAATAATAATAATAACAATAAAAAAAAATAAATAAATAAATAAAAACAAATGTAAAGGGCGTGAAATTAATAATAATAATAATAATAACGAAGCTTATTAAAATAATTTGCTAAACTTTGCTAAATAAGGCTTAATTTTATATATATATAAAAAAAATGGGTAAAAAAAATTAATAACCTGGTTGTGATTGATCAGCTGCCGACAAAAGTGGCAACGTGAGTTTCGCCGATGGCTTTCGACTCGCTGATACTACAAAACCATCACCGGCAGCGATTACAGATAAAACAATATGTAAATATAATACAACAAACATCCTTCCTTCCTTCCTTTTTTAACATTTTAAAATTTTGGAATGGGAGGAGGAAGAGGGAGGGAAATGTAATTCCCCCTCCCCTCCCCCTCGCCCGCCCCCCCGAATCGATTATCAATGATACTCATTATTATTATGAAACTTTTCAAATGAATATCTAATTAAATTTTTCACATTTCGATTTTCCGGAAAAAAAAAAAAAAAAAAAAAAAAAAAACTTTTCATTCTTTGATTGCATCATTTCCCCCCCCCCTCCCCTCCCCCATTACCCCAAATACTTAAAATTATTAATGTTATTAATTAAAAATTTGATAAAATAATGATAATAAAACGAAGGTAATTCCCTACCTTGAGTTTCAGGTTTCTTTTCTTCCGGTTTTGTTTCCTCGACTACTTTCTCGCCGTCCACTCTAAAAAAAAAAAAAAATGATATAAAAATTTCAATCAACAATCCCGGTTCCCGGTCGAAAAGAAAATAATAATAATAATAATATTCGGGATGCTCACTTATCCGTAACTTGTTCTTCAACGGGCGGAGCCGGAGGTGTTTGTTTTGCCGCCAATTCTTCAGCTCTCCTTTGCTCCTCTTCCTCTTGCCTTCGTTTCAACTCTTTCAATTCAAACTGTAATAATAATAATTAAATATTAAAATATAAATATATAATAATATAATATGAGCAACGTTGATGCCGGTTAATTTTAATAAGAAAGGTATATCGGGGGGTGGGGAGTGGAAGGCGGGGTTGGAGTTGGGAGTAGCAACGTGTTTTAAAATAAGGAATCATTGCCATTGCATATTAATTTATAAAAAATAAAATTGCGTATATGATTAAAGCCAAAAAAAAAAAAAATTAAAAGCAATCAATCGTAGTATCGTTAGTTTTTTTTTTTTTTAAATTTCCATCAAAACATACCTCTCTGTAAATGGAAATAAATTCCATGGGATCGGGGAGTGGTAGGGGAGGTAAGGACGAATCCGAAACTTTGTCATTTTGTCCCCCGCTCAAATCGTACATTTTATTTTCATTTTCAAACAATTTACGTTCGTTATTTAAAAATAATTTAGTATCGCAACATTTGCTGTCACCCACTTCCTCGCTGGAAAAAAATACATTTTTTAATTTTTCATTCCAGTCCCTGTCGTTTTTCCATAGGAAAGAACGAATCCTCCTCCTCCTCCTCGGAGGTTTTCTATTTTTCCAAGAACGTTTTTTACCCCTGTCAGGTTTGTAAAATTTATCCGAATAAAATATTATTTCTTTGACCGTGACACCCCATGGTTTATCACAAAAACTACCCCTACTACGTTTTAATTCACATTTTTTCCGTACTGAATTTTTTTTCTTTTGTACGTCGTCGTCGTCGTCGTCGTCGTCGTCGTCGACGTTCTCGTGTACGAATGACTTAGTTTCGGTAAAAAAGGGTGTTAATAGGAAATTATCAGCCATGTTAGGTGTTAATGGTTCAAGCGGTTCCAAAACAACACAATGAAATTCTTTTCTACTCCCGTATTTCGAAATACCACCACTACGTTCATGCTACAAAACAAAAAAAGAGTTAAAATAAAACAAAATCAAAACAAAAAACGAAACAAAACAAAAAAAACAACCGGGTATTAGTAAAAAATTAACTAAAAAACTTTTTTTGTTTGTTTAAATAAATCAAAAATGCTTATTGCAAACGTTACAAAAAAAAATCTAAAATAATAATAATAATAATAATAATAAAATTTTAAAGGCAAACAAACACAAATGCTTTTAATCGTATTATTATTATTATTATTATTATTATAACAATCATATTATTTTATATATAGTGAAAACAAACATTTTTTTTTTTTTTTTTTTTTTTTTTTTAAATAAAAATAATAAGCTACTATTCATGGTAATATAATGTAAAGCATAAAAACTCACAAACACCAAAACGTTAATAAAAAAAAAAAAAAAATGCCCAAAATAAAGCAATGGGGAGGGGGGGGGGAAATAAAAAATAAATGTATGAAAATACCGTTGTTAAACGTTCTAATGCACTAAATCTTTCTTCTTGAGCCGATGCCGATTTTTCAAATGCCTCGTGTTTTTTAATTAGATTTTCTACTTCGTCTATCGTGTGCTGCAATGAAATAATTAATTAATATACAAATTAATTTCATCCCTTTTCGAAACAACTTGAATAAATGATTCTCCTTGTTTCATTTTACAAAAACTCACCCCTAATTCTGTGCTCATGAGATATGGTTCTTGTGCTATTAGCCATGCTTCGGCAACAGCTGCATCTCTTGCAAATTGATAAACTTCCAAAACTGTAAAATGCGAACAAAAAAAAAAAAAATTTTTTTTTTTTTTATGATGATGATACAAATCAAAATATATAAAGTTTTCAAAATTAAATTCGATTAAAAATAATCATCAGATTTTTTTTTTGTATCTGTCACACGTGTTCAGATTGACTAGGACGGTTAAAAAAATATCATCATCGATTTTAGAATATAAAAAAAAAAAAAAAAAAAAAAAAAACGAGAAATAAATTTATTTTTTCGTCTCCCTTACTTAATTGCAAATTCTCCCATCTTTCTTCCCAACGTTGCAATAATGAATTCCTACGATTCGTCAACATTAAAAGTTTTTCTTTAATTTCGTTCGAAGCAAAATGATTCCGCGATAAAAGTTCTTTTCCCAACGATATACAAGCGCTAAAATTATCTTCTCGGGCGTCAATTTCCGCTTTCAAACTTTGGTGATTGTTCATCAACAATTCGACTCCGCTAACATCTCTGCAAATTTTTTTTTTTATTAAAAGATTGAATGATTGATTGATTGAAGGATTTTGAATCAAAGGTCGAGCCGGGTTAAAAAGGTGAAAAAAAGTGTACAAACCTTGGTTTTTCCGAAGTGTTCATTTGCCTGAAAACATCGTTCATCCACAGGAGGAGAGTTCTGACCATGTTAAAGAATTTAAATAAATCACCCGAATCGGCCAATTTATTTCGCCTTGCCTCGCATAGAGCCTGTAAAATGGCCCAAGCGCTCGCAACTTCCGCTTCTCTGTTGGTTATTTCTCGAGCTTTATCACCGGCATAAGATGCTTGAAGACGATTACTTTCATCTTCTATTGTCAAAACCTAAATACCATTTATAGAATGAATGAAACGAACGAGAGGAATTACCTTCTTTTTTCCCTGTTAACCATTTTGACTATTCTTTTTTTTTTTTTTTTTGCTACCTGAGACTGAAGAGTCATGAGATCTTGCATGAAATTTTGATGTTTCCTCTGTAGAGCTGACACGCTTCCAGCATCCCGGCCCAATTCATCTGACATTGAGTGATGTTTTTCCATGATTCGGCCCAAAACATCTTTGCAATCGTGGAAAAATTTGTGAAGTTCTCTGCTCGCTTGCAACATTTGAGTTCTGAATATAAAAAAAAAAAAAAAAAAAAATTTAAAAGTTTTCAACCGCGTAAAAGCCGTTGCTATTAAAAAAAAAAATAACACACGCGTACCTTGTTTCGATCAACTCCAACAAATCTTGCCATGCTTCCGTTAAACCATCTTTCCATTCGGCAATAGTTGCAGAATCACTGTGACCAGCTGAAATTAACCCATCTGCCATTTGATTGACGGCAGCCACTCTTTCAGATCCGATCGATTCAGTATCCCTAGCAAATTCTTTAAATCTTTCCCACAGCAACTAAAAAACGTTTGCGTTTATTAACATAAACAGATAAAATAAAAACAATAAGTTTTTTAAATTTAATAATAATAAAATTAATTATTACTGTAACATGATCGTAATCTTGACCGAGTTCGTGTGAGCCGGCGACTACCTCGCGGTCAGCAATCCATTGTTCTAAATCGTCAACTTCTCTGTTTAACATAAACAACTGCAGAGCTTCTTCTAATTTAGCCCTTCGCTCCCCGGCCAAATCCTTCAATCCGGCATACAATTTGTCAACTTGAGATTGCTTAACACTAATTTGGTCACTGAAATCGTGGATTAAAATATTCAGCAAGTATTCAAATAACGTTTTTTTTTTTTAAATTTAAACATTCGAAAAGAAAAAATGTGTTTACCTTAGAGGATGGCGATCATTGATCAATTGTCTAGCGGTCTCACCCAACTGCCTGATGGTATCCGCATAATCTTCCATGGCCAATTCCAAAGTTTCGTGTTTTTTCATTAAATTCTGCGCTGATATTTCATCTTTACCTCTGTCTTCCACCATCATGTATAATTCTTGTTCGCTCATCCATGATTCAGCTTCATTCGTGTCGAAGAAATACTGTAATGTACCAAAAATTTTTTAAAAGACATCTTATTACTATTGCCAAAAAAAAAAAATCAAGTCCTCCATTTTTTACCTGTTGGACTTTTTCATTTTGTTTCAAATCTTTTTCTCTGCTATCAACGGCTTCTTTGAGCTCTTGATATTTTCGTTTTAAATCCGCAATTAATTTTTCAAATTCCGGACTGTCTTCGTGATTTTCATCGATTAATTTTTGACCATTGTTGCACACGAGCGTAATTCTAGGCTCGTGATTTTCGATTTCGGTTTTGAGAGATTGATTCTTTTTTCGGAGCATGTGAACGTTAAATAATGACGTACCGTGATCGGAAGACGTAGCTTGCGGCATTTTTTCTCCGATCCACAGTTTTTCATCTTCGACATCGCGACGGAACTGTTGAAATTAATAAATACACATTTATAAAAAACAGAAAAAAATAAAGTTTTTTTTTAAAAAAATTTTTTTTTTTTTTTAATTACTTGGAAGGCTTCTTTTTTCTTTTCGAGTTGCCTTTGTCTTTCGAGTAACGGTTGCTTGAGCTGTTGGAATCTTTCTTCGACTTTGGCTTTTTTCGTAACGATATCATCCATTTTTTCGGGAACTGTTTTTTGTAGGTATTCGGCTTGGGACTCCAAATCAGATACTTGCTTAGCTTTGACTGCCATTTGAGTTTCTATCATCTAAAAACCAAAAGATGATGAATTAATAATCTTTCATTTTAAGTTTTGCCTCGGGGATGTTGCAAAATTCAAAATTGCCAAATTAAAATTTCAAAAGTCGTACCTGCTGCTTTTGCATTAAAATATTAACACTGGCCAGATCTGAACCGGTATCGTCACTTTCGATTTGTTTTTCCAATTCGTTCATCCAAGAATCGATATCATCGCAAGTTTGATACATGAGAGTTTCTCTATTTGCATCAAAAAGTCTTTCTCCTTTATCTTTTGTTGTTTTTTCCAAATTATCAAATTGCTGTAATAATTCTCCAATTTTAGGCTTCACAATATCAGCCAATTCTGGTTTTTCCTTGATAAGTTCTTCTCCAGACTACAAAAAATCATTCAATGTTGCATTAATAATTTTTTAAAAAACAATTTATGCACTCTATGATAAAAAAAAAATAACGAGTACTCACTTGTTTGATACGCAACAGGCGATCTTTATTTGCACCAATTTCAGCTTCGAAAGCTTGATGTCTAGTCCATTTGGAATGCACAGTTTTTGCACTTCTGTAGGTATCGTCTTGGGCTGTAAGATTTTTTTCTTGAATCCATTCTCCAAGTTCTTCGCAATCCTATAATCGTATGAAAAATTTTGAAAATGAATTACTTGAAAGAAAGGATAAAAATTAAGAGGAAAATTGAAATTTGGAATTGAATTATTTACCTGTAAAAATTGATGAAGCATCAATTGATCTTTCAATTTGTTCATCATTAAAATGGCTCTGTCTCGATTCGCGTTTCTTCTATCGTTAAGATTTTCAGCTTTTTTGTGTATTTTATCAGAATCAAAATGTCCTTCATCGCATAGACGAGCTGCAAACTGTACAACTGCATTGACTTTATCGTCGTTAGCTTCCATCGTCGTCAAAAATGCTTCGTGACGTTTAATTAGATTTTCAGCTTGTTCTAGATTCGCGGGCGTGTCATCTTTGCTAAGAACGTGTTCTTGCTGATTAAGTAAAACTTCAGCTTGTTTAGCATCTCTGTTGAACATCTGGAGGTTCAAACTCTGGGATAAAAGTTGTTGACGATTCTCCCACATTTGATGTAATTCTTCCCAGCCATCTTTCAAAGCTTTCAATCTTTCACGCAAGAACATGTATTGTGGATCATCTTGTGTAGAAGGTTCTGCTGTTATTCGTTCTCCGTATTCCATCATCTTCAAATAATCTTGTCTGTAATTATCAATTTCTTCTCTGATGCTTTGATGTTGATTAAGTAATTTTTCAGCTTCCGGAAGAGAAGAGGGTGTATCTTCCGATGCCACATCCGTTTGAATTTTTTTGAGCCAAGTTTGAAAATGATCAAGGTCACGCAAGAATCTATGAAGGTCTCCGGCTTCTTCCAATTTAGCATCGCGCTCTTTGAGCATTTGCGTCAATTGTTCCCAAATAACCTTAATTTGTTTGATTCTGCCTCTGATGACCTCCGCCTCTTCGGGATGATCTTTATTTATTGCTTCGGCTTCTTTTTCCAAAGAGTCTAATTTAGCTTGAATGGCAGCCAAATCTCTCTCCATTCCGGATAGACGACGCTGAAGCGTCATTATTCCAGTTAAGTCCATGCCGAGACTATCGGTTTCTTGCAAAATACGTTTTTTGTCTTCAATCCACGACAATGTTTCTCTGCACTCGATATGGAAAGTTTGAACTCCGTGTGCAGAACCCAGTTCATCTCTTTTGGCTTCTGCTTTTTCTCTGAGTTCAGCCCATTTATGATTGAGCTGATTCTGTTTGGCCATAATTTGTTCCGAATTGGGATGCTCGACGTGAAGCAATTTACGAGCCAATTGATTAACTACGGCCACTCGAGAAGCGTTCGCATTCATTTCTTTTTCAAATCCATCGTAACGATGTTTCATAATCTCGACATCTTCGATGTCTTTTGCTGGTACCATAGTGAGAAGCATACGATCCTTAAAACATTATTAAATAAGTTAATTATGTTAAGTAAAAAAAATAATCAAAATAATATTAATTAATAGTTATATAATATACCTTTTCTCCAATCCATTGTTCCACGCCATCTGATTCCGAGAAAAGTTTATACAGAGACAATGCATCCAACAAACGTTGTTTTCTCAATTTGGAGAGTTCCAATAATTCCTTATATCTGTGATCAATGCTAGAAAGCCTATCTAATACCTAAGGAAAAAAAATTTTTAATTTAATATTTTTTTCAGTAATAAAATTTTAAATTTAAATAAAATATTTCCGGGTGTGTATCCTGTTGTACCTCAGGAGATTGTTTATCGTGTTCTCCAAGTTGTGAAGCTTGATTTTTAAGAGCAGCTATTGTAGCTTCGTAATTCTTCAATTCCTCAGCTACATCGTTATGTTTTTTAAGTAGAGACTGAACATTAGCTTCGTCTCTGCCAACATCTTCTGAAGAAACAAGACGCAATGTGTCCAGCATCCAAATATCAACATCATCGGCATCGGCAAAGAACTAAACATAAAAATAAGACATTTACATCGAATTCTAAGAATCATTCAATTTTTCTATTTAAAATTTGGTTTTTTTTTTTTTTTTTTTTTTTAAACGCACCTGATGATAGTCGACAGCTTCTTCAAGTCGTTTTCTCCTGAGAGCTGCCAAATCAGATAAGTGTTGCCACATACCCAAAATTTCCTGAAGTCTGTCTCTAACGCGAGTAGCACCAAAGTGATCTCTATTTACAAGTTCTTCACCGATGGATACGACAGACATGAGCTGCGGTTCGTGGCTGGCAATTTCATTCTCTAAAGCCTTAAAAACCAAAATAATTTTTAATTATGCATTCGCATATTTTATTTTAAATGATAACAAGCAAAGCTTTATTTACCTTATGCTTTGACAAAAGTAAATTTATCGTTGTCAAATCATGACCAATATCACCATTCATCATAATTTGTTCTTTTTCCTTGATCCAATTTTCTTCATCCGCCATATCCCAATAAAACTGCCACAGCTGCCTACTCTCTTCTAATCTCTTTCTTCTTTCAACTGCCAAATTCACTAATTCGCCGTAGGCGTCCTAAAAAAGTTTACAAACAAATGTAATTTTTTCGATTATTTGACTAAAAAGGAGTTTTATTTTATTTTATTTTTTTTTATTTTTTTACCTCAAGTTGTTGAACTCTATCCACTATAACAGTCGGGTCACAAGGTTTGTAGCCTTCTAGAGTTTCTTGATCCAAAAATCTTTGCGATTGCAACACAACAGCCTTCACTCGCTCTCCTAAAACATTGATGTCAGCTTCGACGAGACTGTGTTTCTGTAACAAGTCTTCGACACCCATCAAATGCTTTCCAAAGTCGTCGGATAAGAGACGCATTTTAAGTTCTTCCATCGAATCGAGTATGTATAACATTTCTTGGAAGTTTTGTTGAAGTTGAAGCGAAAGCTCTAACCTCGATCTTCTGGCTCTCAAAAGCTCGAGCAAATAACTCCAAAGACGTAAAACGTTTTCTTTTCGAGCATTTATTCTGTTAATATCATAATAGTTTTCAGCTTCGAGTTCTTGTGATACAGCGACCACGGCTTGAACTCTTTCTTCGTAAGCAAAAATATCAGTTTCTATTGCTTCGTGTTTCTTTGCGGCCGCTTCCACGGCTCCCAAATCCAATCCGAAATTATCTTGCGAAACGAGCCTTTGATTTTCGCTTAGCCAAGTTTCTCTCATTGACGCCTTCCTGTTAAATCTCGCGGCCAATTGTTCCAATTTTTCTTGCCGTATTAATTCTTCACGCAAAGCCAATTCCCTTTCGTGTTCCGCTTTCTCTAACCTTTCCCAAGCTTTATTTATGTCGGATATCATTTTACCCTCGCGCGGCGTGTATGGCTTTTGATTATTCGCTCTCATTTTAGATTGAAGAGTGAAGAGAAGAACTTCGAGATTTCCCTTTTCGACAAACTTGGGAGGTTTCTCGACCGTTCGGTAAGAATTAAATTGTAATAATTGTTGTTGAACTCCGTGTAATGAATTGGCAAATTGTCTATCCCCAAGTTGGGCAATTGTTTTCTCTATCCATTTAAGCAAGTCGGACGTCAGCGTTTCGTATTCGTGAATCATTTTTTCGTTGTCCATCGCAATCCGAACAACTTTTCCTATTCTTTTCCCTTGAACATTGTCTTGTTTGATTTTACTGAACTTGTGGTAATACGTGACGACATATGTGATAATACTCTTTTCGTCGGGTTGATCGACGTAAACATCTTCGGCATCCAACAATTTCGTCAAGCCTAATTTGTCTTCGGCCACGTTGAAGGCATTATTTAAATTATATATTGCATTATTTTTGGAAAGTTTTTCAAATTGAATTAATTCCGGTCTATGTTTGTGAATTATGGCATTAAATGCTAAACCGTCCCGCCAGCTAGTCGTGAAATTTCTAACATTCACGTTCGGATATCCGGCGGTTTTTATTTGACACCATAACAATAAAGCATCTTTAGCCGATTTTGTTTCTTGATTATCGGTTTCTTCAATGGTAATATCTTGAATCTGAAAAATACATTTTTTTTTTTTTTTAAATTATAAAACTGCACGCCACAAATGAATTTCTACAATATGGAAATCACGTTTGGTACATACCTGAAATCTCAATATGATAGTCCAGATTAAACCCAAGCTAAGCCGTGGATTTCCATCGACAATATCGTGTGAACCCATATTTTCCAAATGAACTCTCTGTTCCCGAAGAAATTGCAGTGCTTTATCTACGTTTTCTAAACAATGAATTCTCATTTTTCCTTTTGTCGGCCTCGGCTAACCAAAAAAAAAAAAAAAAAAAAAAATTACTTTTGGAATCAAAATTCTATTTCCCCCTCCCTCCTCCCCCAAACGATTTTCATTATTTTACTACTACGTGTCGAGCACACGTGCTTGGAAAAAAAAAAAAAAAAAAAAAAAACATACCAAACGTTCGCCGGATAAAACTTCAAGTAATTTCAAAAGCATTTTTCCATCTCTTAAATCGACGTAAAGGTCTCCGATCCGACAGGAAACCCTTACCAAATGAGAATTTACCCATTTCTGGAATGTTTTCTTTTGAACGCTTTCTCTTTCATCTGCAAAAAAAAAAAAAAAAAACAACCTTAGCAAGAACGTTCTTTTTTTTCTTCCTAATAATCTGAAATTTGCATCACACACGTAATTGATTTTCACCAAACCAAGACGAGAGAGAGAGACACTTGTTGCAAACACAAACATTAGCATTTTCTTTTTTTTTTTTTTAATACTTAAATATGAATAAGCATTTTCTTTTTTTTCTTTTTTTTTTTTTTTTTTTTTTTACCTTTTAACTTTTTAACGGCTAATTCAAATAAGTAAAGTAATTCATCGAGAGTACGAGAATAAACTGCTGGATTGCAAATAGACATTTACTTATTTTCCTAAACGATATCGAATAACAACAAATCCAATATCACGTTTTGAAAAAAAAAATTCAGGTTGCTTTTCTTTTCTTTTCTTTTCTTTTATTCTTTTACTCTTCTTCTCCCTTTTTTTTTTTTGCAAATAACGAACAAAACGAAATAATGCAAATCAATTTAATTTTTCTCTCTTTTGTTTTACTGCACATTATCACTTCATTTTTTAAACTGGTACAAAAAAAAAATAATAATAATAATAATAAAATAAACAGGGTCAATTAAGTACATAAGAAGAAAAAAAAAAAAAAAAACATTTAAATTAAGCTAATGAAGATGCAATCCAGTAATAATAATAATAATAATAAACAGTTAACTATTATTAGCGATTTTCACACATAATGACGAAACATCCTTCGAATAAAAATTCAAATGCAGGATATATCTATCTATCCATCCATCCATCTATCTATCTATTTAAAACGAGACGAGAGAGAGAGAGAGAGAGAGAGAGAGAACTAATAAGGATTTAATACCTCGTTTAAAAATACAAGAAGTACCACAAATCCATCATTTCTTATTGAATTTCGAAAAAGGTACAAAAAAAAAAAAAGAAAAGAAAAATACAAACGATAAAGGCAAAAAAAATTATGTTTTTCTGTATGAATCTCTCTCTCTCTCTCTCTCTCTCTCTCTCTCTCTCTCTCTTTCTCTCTTTCTCTCTCTTCTTAAATCTACAGTTCGTGTTGAAATTACGTAAATAGAAAATAGAAAATTCATTTTTAATTATTTACAAACGACGATTCGAACGATTGTTTATTTTCAAAGCTTTAACTTGAAGTAAGAAAATGCTGATCGTTGAGGAAAATAAAAAAAAAAAAAAAATTACTTATTGTTCTCGTGAAACTGAATCGAATTTCACAATTCATTTAAAAAGAAAAAAAAAAAAAAAAAACCTACGGTGTAATTTTTCTGCGGTGGCAACTGCAATCCGATCGATATATATATATATATATATATTAAATAAAAACTTCATGTCTTACCATGAATCTTTAAAAGATCTCATAAAAAACAACAGAATTTTCTACTACTTTTTTACAAACACAGACAAACAAACGTACCTGCCAAAGCTTTGATTCTAGATCTTTCGAAAAGTCTCGACGAACTGTTACCACCATCGTATTCGACTATTTCTTGAGTTAAATCTTGCGGTAAAGTCTGGTCCCAACGGACCACGGAAATATCTGTCGTCATTGCAACAGACACCCCGCTTCCTGAAAAAGACAACAAAATAGAAATTGTTAATAATTAACGATTAATAAGAAAAATTAGGTGTCGTCAATTAGAGAGAGAGAGAGAGAGAGAGAGAGAGAGAGAGAAACGGATGCTCTACTATTAAAAAAAAAAAAAACATTTACGACATCCATATTGGGTAACTCGAACTCGACGATATAAAACAAAAAATCCTTTTTAAAAAAACTAATAATTTATAACAGATTATCGAAGAATACTTCTTTTTGTCTTTTTTTTTCTGATTTCCACGACGACACATTTTTGTAACGAACACGATGAACATTAAAAACAAAAAAAAACATACGAAAGACGCCATGTTTATCTTGATAAAGTAATAGTCGTACCTGTTAATTACATTTTTTTTTTTTTTAAATACAAAAATGTACGTTTGCTTTGTAAAAATAAAAATAAAAATTTTCGTTCTCGAAAAGGGGATTTGAACAAACGCCCTCGTAAAAACGTTCGTTCGTGAATGCGTTCGTTCGATAATGTGAATAATTGTGAAGTGAAACGATGAGCAGACGATGAAAATGCCGGGGCGCCGTCACGTAAAATCTTTTTCATCCATTAACTTTAACGTGTTTTTTTTTTCAAATGGGATGCCAAAATTAAAAATTTGTATGTGGTTTTCGATTCAACCGTTGCGAATATAGGTACATTGTCTTTGAAAAGGTCAACGAACCAAAAACCCTATTTTGATTCGTACCCGAGTCGATAGTTTAGTTTGAATTTAAAAAAAAAAAAAAAAAATTAAAGTCAACTTTCTAAACGCCTAACTAACTAACTAACTACTACCCATAATGATACTGACTGACTAACTCTAGGTATATTTATTCAGAAATAAATTACTCGAAAAAAAACTCCGTTTGTTTAAAAAAAAAGACCGAATCACCTTCGTTTGTAAGTGTGTGCGTACGTGTACAAACACGCACACGTATTACACGCCTGTCCGCGTGCGTGCGTGCGTGCATACGTGCGTACGTGTGCGCGTCCTCCATATTTAATAATTATAACCGCCACCAAATGTAAAACTATTTGAATTTTTTAAAATTTTTTTTTTTTTTTTAAATCATTCAAAACGACGGTGTGATCTCTGACATTTAGGATTTAAACTTTGACCCCAAAATAATTTTAATCATTATAATCCCATAAATTGGAGTGGAATGTTGTCATCTCCAAAAAAAAAAAAAAAAAAAAAAAAAAAAAAACGTACGAGGTAAATGTTAAAAAAAATTATAATCAACGCAGTGATTTTATTCATTAAAAAAAAATCATCATCATCATCATTATTATTATTATTATTATTATTTATGATAATATTATCATCGATGGGTGGAGTTTTAATTTGGAAATCAAATTCAACCTCATGATTACCGTTTATTTCCAACTTCGAGTTCGACTAAATGCCAAGATCAAACCAAACAAATCATTTGACCATTGCTAAATTTAAATAACAAACAAACAAACAAACGAACAAACAAACATCTCGCATACGAAAATAACAAAAAAAAAAAATTAAAAAAAAAAATTAAAATTTTAATAACGGACGAATTATACACAATTAATTTTTATACGCACAGGAAATAAATGAAAATTACCAGAACTGGGACCACTCTCTCCCTCTCTCTCTCTCTCTCATTCGACTCTCTTAAAACATTTAAACAAAATTATTTATTTCATTGTTACGAAGGGGAACAACAACAACAACAACAACAACAACAACCGTACAAAAAAAAACGTAACCGTGATATTATTTAAAGTCGAACAATAACACACACACACACACACACTCGAAAAAAAATTTTTGTTTTTTCTTCTTCTTCTTTCTTCCAACCATTTCTCGTATGTAATATTATCCGAATCCCATCTACTTCTCTCTCTCTCTCTTTTTGCTTTTTTCTTTTTTCAATTCTCTTCTTCGTCATTTTAACTAAATACATTCACATTTGTTTTAACCACTCATCATCATAAAATAAAATAATTGAAATGAAAAAAAAAAAAAAAAATGAAAATTAGTGAACCAACCACTTATAAACTAATTTTCTTATTCTTCTTCTTATTATTATTATTCTTTTCTTTTCTTTTTCTCGTTATTGTGCATTGATTTACGTTATTGTTCTTATATTTGAAAATAATATTAATAATAATAAACTTAACAATCTTACTTTTTTTTTTGTAACAAAACACAAATGATTTTTTTTTTCTTTACGATTCGATTATCATCACACTACAATTATTATTATTATTATTTTGTCATTTGTTTCAATACAGAAAAAGAAAAAGAAAAAAAGAAAAAAAAATTTCAATAATACAAAACGACACGTATGCATATGACCAAAAAGAAAAAAAAAAAAATTGACTATCTAACAGAGAGGGGGGCACTGAGAGAGAGAGAGAGAGAGAGAGAGAGAGAGAGAGAGAGACCACAAATCTCGTAAGTTAATTAAGGCTAACATCAGCCTCCGTTAAGCGAGGAGGAATTCTCTCTTTAGAAAAAAAAAAAAAAATGCAGTGACGTGTCCAAAATGAAATTAATAATAATAATAATAATAATAATAATAATAATAATAATAATAATAATAATATTAAGACTAATCGATAAATGTCTGGCCTTTCTGTACCGAAAGCTCCGACCTGTAGTCAGAGTTAGAAAGAGAGAGAGAGAGCGAGAAAAAAATTTTTTAAAAAATGGAATGAAAACAAGGAAACATTTTTTTTTTTTTTTTTATAAGCAACGTAGCATCAAATTGATAGTATTTACACTCCATTAAATGATCCCTAAAAAAAAAAAAATTTCTAAAAAAAATAAAAAATAAAAAAAATTTCTTGATCCCGATTTAAAAAAAAAAAAAAATAGAAAGAAACGTTATATATATATATATTGATTTTGTTTGGCAACAATGCGGCTCCTCCGAGTTTATTTCAGCGTTTTAATTCTTTTCCCCTTTTTCTTTCTTTTTTTTTTTTTTGCTTCAACAGTAGGATTGGAACGCCGCAGCAGCAGCAGCAGCAACAGCTATAATATCGCCTGACTCTTGATTTTTCTTTTGACATTTTTATCAACAATTTCATTTTTTATTTTATTTCGCCACTTATCAATACAAAGCCTCTTCTTCTTCTTCTTCGTCTTTTTCACGGGATTTAACAAAAGAAATTTCTTTCCCCCCCTCTCTCTCTCTCCCTCCCTTTCAATATCACGATCCATTGTCTCCAACATTACGACAACAACAACAACAACAACCATAATCTGTTGGATTGGATCAAACGTTTGTTTTTAAAACGTATAGGAGTGCCATTTACATTTACAATTTTTTTTTTTATTTTCAATTTTCTGATTACATCATTATCATCAATTAATTCAATACATTTAAACCCAACATATGAACGAAGGTGGACGACAACCAATCGTCAACGATCAAATTCATTTAAAACCTAATTTACTAATTAAAAATAATAATAATAATAATAATAAAATCTCAACAATATAAAACACATTTGAGGATTAGCACACATTCATACTCTTCATCATTCATAACAACCAAATTATTTCAAAAAGGATATATTTAGTGGTAAGAAATCAAAATGCGTGTGTACGCACACATAGAGTAATAAAAACGCAAATGATTTATATTATCACACATTGAATGGTTTGAAAAATTCAAATTGATAAAAAAAAGTCTACTAAATAAATAAATAAATCTTTTCATCAATGATACCACTTATATCTTACATCATACATCATTCATAACCATTATATACAATGTAAAATTTAAAAGGGAGACCCCCTCCCCCCCACACAAAAAAAAACCATATTTGAAAAAATATTAAAAAGTCAAACATTCAAAGAAAAAATAAAAGGTGAAATCCGGCCTTGACTGACTACTTCGTGATATTTAAATTTCATTCATTACCTTTCAAAGCTTAATGATTATTAAAAACAAACCAAAGGGAAAATTTTAAAGAAAATATTATTATTATTATTATTATTATAAACGCCTCTAGATAATTGATACTATAATTAAATTGTAATAATAATGATGAAAATTCTCTCTCTCTCTTTTTAAATGACATCCAAAATCATGACAAATCAAATCATGACAAATATTCAAAAATTTCAAAAAAAAAAAAAAAATTTTTTTCTTATTAATAATAATAATAATAAAATTAACCTATTTTTTTATGATTCAAAATTGAAATTTTGGTGGTTGTTACTTCAAATTGACTCACATGCATTAAATTGATCCAATGGAATTCTCAATGACATAAGTTCTTTAAATAGCAATAATATTACCTCATCATCATCATCATCATCATCATCATCATCATCAACATTCGATAAACTAAAATTCTAATTTTGATTTTTAATTTTTTTTAGATTTTTATTAAGTGTAAATGATACTATACTACAATTAAAATTTTTTTTTTTTTTTCTGTAAAAGATTTAATAAGTCAATAATTATTATTATCTCAAGATAAAAAAAAAAATGTTTTAATTCGACTAATAATAATAATAATTTAAACAAAGTGACAATATTTTCAATTATTTGTTTCAATAACATAAAAAAAAAAACTTTTAACGTTTAATCAAACCTAAATTTTTATCACGAGGAATTTAAATAAAAAAAAATTATAAGATAATAATAATAATAACTTCAAAATTTCAGATAAAGAAATATAATAAAAGCTGATGATGATGATTGATTTCACTTTGTAAATTAAAAATAATAATAATAATAATAAGGAAGTAGTTATTTTTTTTGAAATCGATAAAAATCTTTTAAAAAAAAATTAATTTCAATCGTAAAAACAATAAACGAATTTAAAATATGAGAATGTTCGTTACAACACACAACTTCACATTCATTTGAATCGATGAAAACTTTATAAAACACTCATACTGTTATAATTTAATATGATTAATTAATTAAAACCATTTTAAGAGTTGAAAAAAAATTAAAAATTAAAAAAAAAAATAATGAAATTCATTCGAGTATTAAATTTTTAAATAAGATAATAGTAACATAAATTAATAATTTTTTTTTTTTTTTGCATAAAACTAAATGTTAAAATCAATGTAAGCATAGTTTTTTTTTTCTTTTTGTTAAAATAGAAGCAAAAATTAAAATTTAATCGTGTTAATTTTCACACATTTAAAAACGAAAAAAAAAAAACCTTTTAGTTTTATCAAAATGAATAAATAAATATTGAATTAAGAATGCAATTGTTACACTGTATCAGTAAACAACAATATAAATGATTTAATTGAAATATTTTTTTAACAAAATAATAATAATAATAATCTTAAGCCATGTAATAATAATAAAATCTTATTTATTTTATGAATGTAATCAAATTGGAAACGGTAAAAAAAAAAAAAAAAAAAATTATGTAATAAGTCAATAGACTCCATTTTTTATGGTCAAGAGTTTAAAATTTTAAATACTTTAATATCTAAATATATGTTTATTAAATAAAGTAAATACTATTGAATAATTGAAAATTAGATTTAAAAAGTGATAATTTAAAAAAAAAGGGGGGGAAAAGGGGGGGAAAAAAGAAAAAATTTGGACATTTGTAATTGTATTCGAACACCACCAAAAAACCACGACTGACTAGAAATAATAACCAAAATTCATTAGCAAACACAACATAAGTTGGTTTTTATTACATTTAGTGAAATAATGTTCGTTTTCATTCATTATTCCTCATATAAACAATAATTTTAATGACTCCCAATCAACACATTAAAGTTTCGACCTAAATATTAAGTAAACCTATATAAAAAAAAAAAAAAGGTAAAAAAAAAAAGTTGATGACACCGCCTTAAATGCACTGACGCATACAATTGACCGAACATAATTATTATTATATTTTGACAAAATATTTCAATATATGAATAAAAATAATAATAATAATCGAATAAATACGAACCTTAATAATAAAAACACTTGTCAAATTTCCTATATTTCGAGCGGTGAATTCCAACAGCTTAACAAAAAAAATTACACACAATCCCGCGACAACCAGCACTTGCTCGAGAAAAAGAATAACCGAGGAACTTGTGATTTATATTTTCCTGCGCATAATAAAATAAAACCGTCATTTTTATTAATTTTTATTTATTTTAATATAATATTTTGAATTTATCATGTACAAATTATAATTTTTTTTTATTTTTAAAAATGTGAAATTTATTTTCGTTGATTTTTCCTAGGGGAAATAAAAAATAGTCGTTTTTAAGATAATCTTAAATGACATCACCTGCGTAGGAATACAATTTTTTTAAAACTCGTTTGGTTTATAAGGGAAAAATTTATCTATTTATTTATTTAATAATTTTTAATTTTAATGTTAGATTTAAAAAAAAAATATATAAAAAAAAACTAAATTTTTCTCGATGTAGGAATTGATTTTGATTATCGAAAATAATCAAATTTTCACGGGAAACTATAATTAGGGCAGACATTTTGTAAAAAACATGGCGGTTGCGAAGTGGGTGTGTCAAAAAATGGCCTAATTTGAAGGCGGTATTTTTAAAAATTTTGTTGTACACTTTGAAAATTTAAAAAAAAATAAAACTTAAACCATATGTAGTAAATATGAACTTGTTTTTAAAAGGATAAAATAAATTTTAAACTGAATTTTTAAATGTAACATTTTAACTTTATTAAAAAATATTTACAGAAACATTTTCATATATTATAATGAATGATAAAACTGAAAAAAAAAAAAAATTTAATTTCATTTTGAGTTTTAATTATATTTTTTATCATATTCACTTTAATTAATAAATATTTTACCATTTTTGTTTATTAATCTAAACTAAAACTACAATTATTATTAAAATTATTTTGAATTATTCCATAGCCAATGTTTGTTCTTGTTACACCTTAGCCATCATTTATTATTTGTAATTATAAATAAATTAGTATAGAAATTCATTTAAAATTTTTTGAAAACAAATTACAAATGTTAAACAATAAACAAAAAGTAATAATACATATGTAAATAAACAAACATAATAAATATGTAAATAATTTTTTATTTTTATTTTGTAACTCAATATACATAAAAGTTATAATTTTAAAAAGAATACATTTAAATTACATTTTACTTATTTTTTTTTAGTAAAATTTCAACTTTATTATTATTATTATGATTACATTTAATTTTTTGATGTTATGAAAGAAGTAAAGTCGAATATTATCGGTTTAAAAGACAAAAAAAACCTTTTAAAAAATTCAAAATTTGTTTTTTAATATGTAATAAACTGTATTGGTAAGTATGTAAACAATCTTCTGTAAGAACGTGGAATCAGACAAACGATTTGCAGGGAAAAATGTCGTTACATTTTTTTCGCATCAAGTTCGACGATGTTGTTTAAAAATTCTTGGAAATAATTTTAAGCCGCCGCCATCTTTTATGTTTTATTATATTTTTTGAAGTTTTTTTTTCTTTTTTTTTTTTTTTTCTTTTCTTTTGTACTTAAATAAATTCAGTTTCGTCAGGTTAAAATTAATTTTTTTTTGTATATGGTGTGAAATTATTATATATATAAAAAGAAAATTAAAACTCATGAATTCTGCGAAACAAATACCACGAATTTATATGGATTCGAGTTTAATTGTCAAGTAAAGTTTTGATTTTACACAATAACTATTAAAAATTTTTATATGAATTGTTCTATTCATTTTACGTTCATTTTACAGGAATCACGATCAAAAAACATCCAGTTCAAGTTAGTATATAAAATTCATAATAATAACAATAATAGTGATTTTTTTTTAAAAAAAAGTTTGAATGAAATAAATTGATAATGAAAATTAAATTTTTTTAGATGGTTTCGAGAGAAAATCTAAAATTTCTAAATTACCAAAAAGAACATGTAGTTTAGAAGGAAAAGAAAAATTTTTAATGAAAAAAGAATCATTTGAAAAATCACTCACAAGTACCACATCAATGATTCCAAGACCAGAAAAAATAAAATGTAACTTTTTTTTTTTATATGAGAATAAGTAACGGTTTTTTTTTTTTTTTTTTTAAATTTTCATTTATTTTTTTTTTTTTGTTATAGTTATTAGAAACGTAAGTTCTTCTCGTAATCCAACAAGAGAATTTAAACAAAATGTAGAAAAATCAAAACAACATCCTGTATCGGCGGGTAACGTCAAACAAATGCGTACTAAAAAAATAACGAATTTTAAAAATTCGCCATCCTTAACCGTATTAAACATAAATTCGTTAGAATATAAACTATGTAACGATTTGAAAGAATTCAAACAAAACGTGTTGAAAATACCCGAATTTTGGTCTGATGCCGATCAAACGGTTAAAAATATATTAAAAAATACCGTGGGAATCGTGAGCAAACAATATCCGACAGCAAATGTCGAATCGTTTGAAGCTGAAGTTCAAAATATACTCAAAGCTGCTGAAGTTGTAAAAAAAGATATTTTGACAAAAACCGAAGATATTATTAACAGAGCTAATAAAATATACGAAGGAAACGAATTTTGTGGTCCATCAGATCAAGAAATGAAAATGATTGCGGAAAAAATGGAAGATATAAGAATGAATGTAAATGCTAAAAATGTTTTTAATGATTTATTAAAATATGGTAATGAAATAAATCAAAAAATGGAAGATGAGAAAAATAATAAAATAAATAAAAAATTAGAAAATGGTTGTTTGATAACCAATAATAATAATAACAATAACACGAATAGGAAAAAAAATAAAACGTCATCATCTTTAAAAAATAATAATAATAATAATAATAATAATCATGATATTTCACATATGCAATCTTGTGGTGATATACTTAGACAGGGTGCAAGAACGGTTATTAAATTATTAAACGATACAGGTATAAAATAATAACAATAATAATAATAATAATTGATTGAATACGATTTATTTAAATAAATCAATTGATTTTTTTTTTTTTTTCTAGATGGTAAATCGATAGAAAATGTAATAATGGAAAATAAATCGTGTCAAACGATAAGCACGTGGATAATAGATATGGAAAAAAAAGAAGAATCGTTGAGAGTTTTAAATAATCAAATATTAGAATTACATAATTTATGTAAAGATCACATAAATAAATTCAAGAGTTTTAATTTTCAAATAAAACTAAGGGGAATGTGTAACAAATCGCATAACGTTTTACCGACAAAAGACGGGATTGGAAAAAATAAATGTACATATTTAAATAAAGATTTTGATTTTCCAATAATAAAACAAAGGGATGTTGATTTAAATAAAAAAAATAAACTCATAAGTCAACAAAAAAAATTACTACACGTAAGAGATGAATTAATTGATATGCTCAAAAATAGATGCAACGTTGAAGTTAAAGAAATATGAATTTTTTCCCCATTTTTTTCTTCCATTTTTTTTTTTGAATGAATGAATGAATTAACATCATCATTATTACGGAATCGAATTGTCAAAAAAATTTTATTTGGATCCACATATCCAATTCATACCTGAAATAAATTAAACTAAAATTTTAATGACACAAATCACGTTGATATTTAAATAAAAATTTTAAAAAAATAATGATAATTTTGAAATAAAAAAGTAAAAGAACATAATAATAATAATAATAACAATCGTACAAAACGAGTATGTTTAACATTCGTTATGAAAATTAATAAAGTATTTATTTATTAAATAAAATTATTATTAATTATTATTACCCCAATAATTCCGTTTATTACAAAGCGGAAAAGTAAATAAAGTTATTAATTTTTTATTAATTTAAAAAAAAAATTTTATTACAAAATTTTTTATAAAAAAATACATTTTGAAAAAATTTTTTTTTTTTTTTTTTTAAACACAAAAATCACGCAATGCGATATTAATTAATTAAGTGCAGAAAGCTTTTTTTTTTTAATTTATTATAATTAAAAATTATTAATAATAATTAATCGAGCTGCTTTTTTTTACAAAAATTATGACAAATAAAAAAAAAATTTAATACAACATTGATTTCTTTTTAAAATAAATATAAATATAATAATAATAAAAAAAGTTTGTTTGTATAAAATATATTATGCGTTGTTTATTATTTTGTTTCATAATAATAATAATAATAATTGACACAATTAAAAAAAAAAAAAAAAAATTATTTTAGTTTAATACTTGACAAAAGGACGGTTTATTTACAATAAAAATAATAATATCATTACATTATTAAAAAATGGGAAATAAAATGATTATTGCTCTTATCTTCTAATTAATAATATAAATTAATATTAAATACAGAAAATGAATATCAAATAAAAAAATTAAAATAAAATACACAACTTATTGAGAATTTAATAAATCTACTTTAAAAAAAAAAAAAAAATGTCGTTTAAAACATTTTTAAAATGTATAATAATAATAATAATAATAATAAATGTGACGTTTTATTTATATCAAAAAAAAAAAAAAAAAGAATTTCATATTTGTTATAAATACTTTTTAATAGGAATGATACTGTGGCATACTTATACTAAATTTTAAAGTATAAAAAAATTATCGATTAAAATTAATAATAAATTTTTTTTTTTTAAAAAGTATAAATAATAATAATAATAATAATAATAAAAAGCAAAGTGTAAAAAAAAATAAATTCTATAAATTATTACAAAATTAAATGCAATTTTTTTTTTTTTTAAATTATAATAAAAATTTACATTTAAATAAAAAAAAAAAAAAAGAAAACGACGCATATCAAAACGAATTCTTTTTTTTTTTAATTCAAAAAATATCCTACGAATAAAAATAATCAATACTTGAATTTATATATATCTTTTTTTTATATACTTATAAATTTGCTTTTCCAGATAAAAATAAATCTTAAATTAAATCAAGCACGAAATATATATGAAATACAATTTTTAAATTGAAAAAAATTATTTCCCCCTCCCCCCCCCACAATAAAAAAATTTTGATTATTAATTTTGCAAAATGACTAATAATTGAGCAATTAATTTATTTATTTATTTATTCATTTACCAAAAAAAAAAAAAAAAAAAAAAATTGCGGGTAAACAGTAAGCAAAAAAAAAAAAAAAGTTAGTACAAAAAGGCACAAAAATATTTTTTTCCTTTTTTCTCTTTTCTTTTTTTTGACCAATAAATATTTAAATGAAATTGTTATTTGATAAATTAATAAATAATAAAAAAAAAAATACTATAAAAATATAAAATCGATTTAAGTTTTTTAAAAAAAAAAAAAATGTTTGGAAGTATTTTAAATTTTTTTCATTTATAAAAAAAATCATCAATCTTGACTACTACAGATTCCTGTATGTAAAAAAAAAAAGATTCTCGATTTGTTTTAAAAAATTAAAATCATACAATAAATGTATAAAGTCACGAATAATATTGATTAAAATAATAATGATTTTTTTCATTTGCGAAAAATTGTAAAAAAAAAAAAAAAAAATTGATTTAAAAACTTTCTGCAGTAACCACCTAATAAACTCTTATACCTTAATTCATTTTAAAAGAAGCTTCTAATCTATACTACTATCTTTTTTTTTCTTTTATTTTCTCATTTGAATTTCAATTCGTCAATATAAAATGTTTTGTAAACTAACGGTAAAAAAATTTTTATTTTATGTAATAAAAGTTAAACCTATCATTGTCATTGTCCGTTACCCCTATACTACTTTGATATAATTTAATATTAACAATGATAGGTTTCAATGAGAAATTTTTTTTATTGGATTATCTTACATAACCTACTTAAAAAAATTGTCTTTTTTCTTTCCAAATACATCGTGAAAAATTACTTACTACATCACTAGGACATCAAGCTTAGACCTAATCACACATCACATTCAAAAAGCCCAATCGTCGTCAATCGATTCAAATTAAAAATTATAAATTTTTTTAAAAAAATATCATTGTACAAATAAATTAAAATATACATTCACTCCATAATAATAATAATAATAAAATCCATGATACGAGATTCAAGTTCCAAAAGTAGAAATTTCTCGGGGTAGAATTCTTTGACATCCAAACGATGCCTGGATAATTGATATTCGGCAATGATATTTCTGAAAAATTGTTTTAATTTATCATTATTGTGGCGACTGATTGTATCAGGATTCGCACGAGTAAATCGATTTGATCACAGAGAAAAAAACAAAAAAAAACCATGCATTTTTTCGATGATAAGAGCTGCTCAATTAAAAAAAAAATAATAATAATAACCAACCTAGACTAAATGAGTCACTAATACTAAGAAAAATGCAAAAAAAACTATGGACATGCTCGATGACACTGCCGAAACTCCTCCGGTACGAGAATAACCGCAAGCTGGCGGACAAATTGGTATAATAGTTTCTGAAAGAAAATATTAAACGTTTAAATTTTATTTTTAAACATGCGACCCAACCAAAGGGAAGTGTAAAAGAAATATTCTCTCGCAAAAGATTATGAATAAACATGATTTTGAAAAAAAAAAAAAAAAAATTCAAACAGCAAAAAATTTTGTATGTAAACTTCTACTCGAGAGTAACTGGAAGCAAAATTTTTTTATGCTCCACATCATGCAGACTTAAAACACACAAAATTTACTCACCGAAAAGTTCTACTTGTGCCTCGGCAGTACCCAGTTTGTTAGCTGCTTTGCAGGTATAACGTCCATACTGTCGTTTTTCAATAGTAATCACTCGAAGTGTTGTGTCTGTATATTCATCTGCAGTGGCAAAATGTGAAATTCTAAAATGAAATAAATAAAATTTTAATTTTAAAATAATTTTTTTTTCAGTCAACTAAGCAAATAAATTTCTTACGAGTAGTGTTGATTATTTGAAAGTTGAACACCATCTTTTAGCCAAACTATAGCAGGTGGAGGATATGCTTCAACATGGCATTCAAGATCCATATCATATTGAACAGCTTGTCCCAACCTTGGTCTAGGTACAGTTATAACTGGTTTAAATTCTACTTCCACACCAATATTCCTTCTCGCACCTCTTCCGACACCATTTTCAGCAACACAATAATAAGTACCCCTATCTTCTTTTTTAACAGATGCTATTTTTAAAACATTACCCCTAAAAATGAAGAATTTTTTTTTTTATTTTTAAAAAAAACTGTGAACCCCTTTTAGAAATTTTTTGTTTAGGAAGTTTTAAATAAAATCATAAAATATTTACTTATAAATGGCTCCACCTGTTGGTAGCACAGCATTATTCTCCCTTCTCCAAGAAATTCTCGGTGCAGGATAACCTCCTGCATAACATTCTAAATTTACACTTTGCCCTTCTGACACAACCAAACTTCTTGTAGAATTATCTGATATAATAGGAGGACGACGAACTTGTAGGTCAACTTCAGCTGATATTTTATTATTTAATTCTATAATTACTTGACATTGATAATAACCTGCATCAGTCTCTTGAATGTCTTTAATCTAAAAATTTTAAACACTAGTAAACTAATTGATTTTAATTAAAATAACACAAATATAATATAAATAGAAAAACTAACTTGCAAAATATATGTAGAACTAGCAACATCATGTCGAAGAGAAAATCTGGTGTCTTTTATAATCAATGAACTACCACTTGAAATAGGCAATGGGTCATTGTTTCTATTTCTGTTGATTCGAATCCAAAGTACTGGATAGTCTTGAGCATATTGTACAGCACATTGCAATTCAACAGTCCCCCCAATGTCTTTAATTTGTTCTTGTGAAATATAAGAAATTGTAGGCGTTCTTTGACACCAACCTAAATTAAATAATAAAAAATAATGAAATAATTAAATTACTATGCGAGTATAATGAGCATAGTACGTATTGTTTAAAATATATTTTTTATGAAAAAGCAACGATTCAAATAACCTTTTCTGTAAAAAGCAAATAAAAACAAAAAATCATATTAAAACAATTTATAAAGAATGAATATAAAAGATTATTCGAATTAAATAAGACCGTTTCAATGTTTTCGAACCTCGCCCACTTATTACTCATTCGAATGTGATAAAAATTAATAAAACAAACACGTGAAAAAAAAAAATTAATTAAAAATAAAATTTAAAAAATTATTCAGTAATTAAAAAACAACAGGTGTTACAAATCGTACTTACAAATTTCAAATAAAAAAGCAAGTAAAAATGAAAAATGAATAACGACAGAAAACGACGCCATTTCGAATGTAGCTTCAGAAAGTTTTAAATTTTAAATTAGAACTTTTAAAAAAGGGCAGTGAAATTAAAGATGGCGCACATGTTTGATACTTTTTTTAAACGCTGTTTACTTTAATAATCTCAATCTTTATATATTAATATTTGTACGAGGAAAAAAAAACATTTGTGTATAAATAAAAAACAGTTTGAAATTTATTAAAACGCAGTTTTAATTTTCACATTAAAGTTTTTTTTTAATAACAAAAACAAAAATATAAAAAATGAAACGATTAATTTCTAATAAAAATCAAACCGTTTTTTCAAAAGTAAATATCATTTTTTATAAAATATTTTTTTAAAAATGAAATTTAAAAAAAAAAAAACAAGTTTTAGCAAATTATTCGATTTTATTGTCGAAACATCTCTGGTAAATTATAATAAATTTTTTTCATTCCGTTATTTTATCTTAATTATTTGAGAAGTTTTAACAAATTTTCGTTAAAAAATGATTGTATATCAAAATGACTATTTTATTTAATATTTTACTTTTTTGAATATGTGAATATTAAAATTATATTTATTTATTTTAGTTTGATTTATATTTATATAAATAGTTATAATATTCAAGAAAGTAAAGAAGTTAAGAAGGAAATCTTGCACTTTAATAAAAATTGTTTTAATAAAAGCTCTTTTCTTTTTGTAATGTAAAAAAAAAAAAAATGTCAAATATTGTTAAATTTACAGTGAAAAAAAAAAAAAAACTTAATATTTTTTTCCAGTTGTTGAGAATAATTCTTAAAATGAACGCAAGGGGGTAGAATTGATGAATGAAGATGTGTAAATATCCTGTACCGAATTGGTGAAGCTGTATTGATCCAAATCTGCAGCCTTCTCATGTCGGAAAATTTCTAGTCGGTGCCGGGAAATGAATCGAGGGGGTCGATCCTCGTTCGGGGAAACCTTTCGACCGAACATGTCAAAAAATACGAAAACGTAGCATCGGAAACGCGAATCCCGAGCGGCAAAATTAGATAACAAATTTTTTTTTTTTTTTTTTTTTTTAAATTCCACACGCGACTGAGACGAAAAATAATGGGTAAACCGATTTTTTTTAAATTGAAATTATATTTATATTTTTCCCTTAACAATTAATATTCAATTAAAAATGTCGTAAAAAAAAAAAAAAAAATTTCTTTTTACTATATTTTTCATAAAATCATGTGTTTGGGTGTGTGAGACGCCATTTTGTTATTTGAAATTTGAACAATCCAGGTCACTATCATTAAACTTTTTTTCTTTTTTTTTAAATAGGAAAACATCAATTAATGTCTACTTCTACTAAAAAAAAAAAAAGAAAACAATTAAATCCACTTGGAATTTTTTTAAATAATAAAAGTTTACAGGAAATAAAACATTTATGGTGGATTTTTCGCGAAATTATTTTTTTAAATTAAATTAAATTATAAAAATTACACATTACACTTAAATTTAATTTAATAAGGAGATAATAAATTTAAATTCCATTTTATTTTATTAATTATAATTTTCAAGCTGATTTTTTCTTTTGCCGGAATCACACGATCAATTATTATAAAATTAATAAATTTTTTTTTTTATTATAAAATTAAATCGTTGAATCCATATTTTAAAACGGGTGTATGCTACCATAATTGATTTTATTTATTTATTTATTATTTTTTATCTAGAGTAAAATTAATAATTTAAATTAAAATTTGTTTTTTTTTTTTTTTTTTTATAAAAAGTAAAAATTTTAATAATTATGTGACATACTTGTTAGTAATTTTATACTAATGCCTAATAGTGACCGTGTTATATTAATTTCCCCTTCCCCCTTGCCCCCTTGCCCCCCCCCCCGTTTTAAAATATTTAAATATTCACATGATTTATGAAAAATTTAATAATAAAATTAATTTTTTTTTGTACTCAAATGACACTCATAGATTATTTTTATTAACAGCCTTACAAAAAAAATAAAGATGGAAGAAAATTTATGTTCATTTAATAAAAAAAAAAAAAAAAAAATTATATGGAGAAAATATGATGAATATTATTTGTTTAAATAATCATGTTATGTCATCAAAATCTTTATAAATGGTGACCAAGTGTTGGAAAGTGATATAAAAAAAAAAAAAAAAAAAAAAAAAACAAAAAATAAATAAATAAATAAATAAATAATGGTGGATCTCGGAGGATACGTTATTATAATTGTCGAAACCAAAGACAAAAAAATTAAATTATATGGTAAATAAATTAAATAAATTTATTTATTTGCTATGTTATTATTATTTAAAATTTTCTATTAATTTTAATTTGTATAATTGTAGGTTCTCCACCTGATAAAGCAAATTTAAAAGTTGGAAATGAAATTTTGGAAGTTAATGGAAAATCAATGGATGAACCCTCACATACAAAAGTTATATCACATATTCATCAGGTTGGGGAAAAAATCAAATTTATTTTATTTATTTATTAAAAATATATTTAGTACTTTTATAAAACTCGGTTACATTTTTATAAGATACATAAATAGATTTTTATAAATATCCATAAATAATTTTTTTAATAAGTCTATATAAAGTTACGAAACATTTATTTAAAATATCAAAAATCTAATTTTTTTAAATATTTTTAATAATCTATTTTCAAATCTTATTATTAAACTTAATTTTTATATTATATAAAATAACATTAAAATTTTCTTTTTTATAAAAAATTTATCATTGAACCTAGGCCACAAAATTTAAAAAAAAAAAATTAAACTTGGCTTTAATATAAAATATGTCTGACACAGTTTAACTAAGTTACTCACTCACCTTAAAAAAAACTTTAAATTAACTTTTATTTTATTTATTTTATATTTAAAAAATTTTAAGGGTTGATATTGTATTAAAAAAAAAAAAAGAAAAGATTTAATAGTATATAAAAATTTAATTTATTAAAATAAAATTTATTTATTTTTTTCCAGTGCATTCGATCACGTACAATTTGTTTGAGAGTTAAAAGGAGAAGTGGGAACAAATTAGGTAAGATGAAAAAAAATTATTATTTTACTACTAATAATAATAATAATAATAAGGGATTTAATAGAAAAAATCGATTGAATGATTAGTATAATCGCAAGTTTATGGTAAAAAGAGGAAAATATTTACACTTATGTATACATAATAATTTATTTAAAAGGTCGGAACAATGTTCATAGTAATTAATAACTTACATATATTTCTTGGATACAAGGCTTTAAACATAAACAAGGTGACTTTTCCGACATTGAAAATTAAATTTTTATGGGAAAAAAAATTATTGCGTAAAAAATTTAATACTTGTTTAATTATTATTAAGTCGACGTAGTACTGAGGAAGGTACTTTATTTAATAACTAATTTAAAAACTTATTTATTATTTATCAATGACCCCCCACCATCATCACCACCAACAACAAAACTTATAATTAAACTTATTAATAATAAAATTTATCCATAAATATTAAGCGAGTTTTTAAATATAGTTTAAAATGAACAGAATAGTTAGTGATGTTATTGAAATATTAGTCTTTTATACTAAAATGCAACTAATTTTAATAATAATAATAATAATAATGATCACTTTTAAGTGTGAGATTGTTAACAAATTTAAATGTTAATTTTTCATAATAATTTATTGCAAAATCAAATGATATGTTTTCAATTACAGGGGAAAAAACCTAAATATTATTATTATTATGTTTTATTATAAATTGTAAAATAATTATTTACGTATAAGTAAATATGTTTTGCGTAGAATTAATATTTCAAATTAGATTTTATGTAATGGAGGAGGAAAAGAAAGAGAGAATTTCAAAGAGATAATAAACGGAGTTTTTGTTTATTTGTTAAAACAAAAGGCCCTGAAAAAAAAAAAGTAGGGATGACGTAGTATGACGTCACAATTGAGTTTCGTGGCGAATCAAGTTGTCCACCTGTAATGTCGAACGAACGAACAAACGTACGTAACCAGTTTTTAATCCGCTGTTCGAGAATGATCACTTAAATCGCGTTTTGTTTAAACACAATTTAAAACATTTTTTTTTTTTTTTTTTTTTTTACATATATATTAGTATTTTGACGTTTCTTTTTCTTCTTCTTCATCATCTTTTCTCTCTCGTTTTCTTTTTAATTATTATTATTATTATTTGTCAGTCGTGAAGTTATGTTTGTTTGTACCTTTTCAAATGGATTTTATTTTATCAGTTGAGTTAGTTAAAAAAAGTGAATTATAGTGAAGGTTTTTATCGCGATTGTGCAATAAATAAATAACGAAACCATTGAAATAAGAAAAAAAAAACAAGTGTCAATAGTGTCGTCAAAAATTAATTGTCAAATAGAATTTTCCAGAACCGATTAGTAATAAACATCACAAAACGATTAATAACCGAACCTAGACTTCACATACATATTTAAGGTACGTTTTTTTTTTTTTTTTATTGACAGAAATGCAAAAAATTTTTATATTTAATCATCAAAAGATAGGTTTGTGTTGTTGTTTTTTTTCAACATTTTCTCGGAAAAATTATTTTTCATCGAATAATTAAAAAAAAAAAAAACGATAATAATAATAATAAAAATAATAAGGAATTTTTTACGTTGTTGTTAATCGTT